CCACCACCAACTGTGCGCATCTACCTCCACCACCAGCTGAGCCCGTCTACCTCCACCACCAACTGTGCGCATCTACCTCCACCACCAGCTGAGCCCGTCTACCTCCACCACCAACTGTGCGCATCTACCTCCACCACCAGCTGAGCCCGTCTACCTCCACCACCAACTGTGCGCATCTACCTCCACCACCAGCTGAGCCCGTCTACCTCCACCACCAACTGTGCGCATCTACCTCCACCACCAGCTGAGCCCGTCTACCTCCACCACCAACTGTGCGCATCTACCTCCACCACCAGCTGAGCCCGTCTACCTCCACCACCAACTGTGCGCATCTACCTCCACCACCAGCTGAGCCCGTCTACCTCCACCACCAACTGTGCGCATCTACCTCCACCACCAGCTGAGCCCGTCTACCTCCACCACCAACTGTGCGCATCTACCTCCACCACCAGCTGAGCCCGTCTACCTCCACCACCAACTGTGCGCATCTACCTCCACCACCAGCTGAGCCCGTCTACCTCCACCACCAACTGTGCGCATCTACCTCCACCACCAGCTGAGCCCGTCTACCTCCACCACCAACTGTGCGCATCTACCTCCACCACCAGCTGAGCCCGTCTACCTCCACCACCAACTGTGCGCATCTACCTCCACCACCAGCTGAGCCCGTCTACCTCCACCACCAACTGTGCGCATCTACCTCCACCACCAGCTGAGCCCGTCTACCTCCACCACCAACTGTGCGCATCTACCTCCACCACCAGCTGAGCCCGTCTACCTCCACCACCAACTGTGCGCATCTACCTCCACCACCAGCTGAGCCCGTCTACCTCCACCACCAACTGTGCGCATCTACCTCCACCACCAGCTGAGCCCGTCTACCTCCACCACCAACTGTGCGCATCTACCTCCACCACCAGCTGAGCCCGTCTACCTCCACCACCAACTGTGCGCATCTACCTCCACCACCAGCTGAGCCCGTCTACCTCCACCACCAACTGTGCGCATCTACCTCCACCACCAGCTGAGCCCGTCTACCTCCACCACCAACTGTGCGCATCTACCTCCACCACCAGCTGAGCCCGTCTACCTCCACCACCAACTGTGCGCATCTACCTCCACCACCAGCTGAGCCCGTCTACCTCCACCACCAACTGTGCGCATCTACCTCCACCACCAGCTGAGCCCGTCTACCTCCACCACCAACTGTGCGCATCTACCTCCACCACCAGCTGAGCCCGTCTACCTCCACCACCAACTGTGCGCATCTACCTCCACCACCAGCTGAGCCCGTCTACCTCCACCACCAACTGTGCGCATCTACCTCCACCACCAGCTGAGCCCGTCTACCTCCACCACCAACTGTGCGCATCTACCTCCACCACCAGCTGAGCCCGTCTACCTCCACCACCAACTGTGCGCATCTACCTCCACCACCAGCTGAGCCCGTCTACCTCCACCACCAACTGTGCGCATCTACCTCCACCACCAGCTGAGCCCGTCTACCTCCACCACCAACTGTGCGCATCTACCTCCACCACCAGCTGAGCCCGTCTACCTCCACCACCAACTGTGCGCATCTACCTCCACCACCAGCTGAGCCCGTCTACCTCCACCACCAACTGTGCGCATCTACCTCCACCACCAGCTGAGCCCGTCTACCTCCACCACCAACTGTGCGCATCTACCTCCACCACCAGCTGAGCCCGTCTACCTCCACCACCAACTGTGCGCATCTACCTCCACCACCAGCTGAGCCCGTCTACCTCCACCACCAACTGTGCGCATCTACCTCCACCACCAGCTGAGCCCGTCTACCTCCACCACCAACTGTGCGCATCTACCTCCACCACCAGCTGAGCCCGTCTACCTCCACCACCAACTGTGCGCATCTACCTCCACCACCAGCTGAGCCCGTCTACCTCCACCACCAACTGTGCGCATCTACCTCCACCACCAGCTGAGCCCGTCTACCTCCACCACCAACTGTGCGCATCTACCTCCACCACCAGCTGAGCCCGTCTACCTCCACCACCAACTGTGCGCATCTACCTCCACCACCAGCTGAGCCCGTCTACCTCCACCACCAACTGTGCGCATCTACCTCCACCACCAGCTGAGCCCGTCTACCTCCACCACCAACTGTGCGCATCTACCTCCACCACCAGCTGAGCCCGTCTACCTCCACCACCAACTGTGCGCATCTACCTCCACCACCAGCTGAGCCCGTCTACCTCCACCACCAACTGTGCGCATCTACCTCCACCACCAGCTGAGCCCGTCTACCTCCACCACCAACTGTGCGCATCTACCTCCACCACCAGCTGAGCCCGTCTACCTCCACCACCAACTGTGCGCATCTACCTCCACCACCAGCTGAGCCCGTCTACCTCCACCACCAACTGTGCGCATCTACCTCCACCACCAGCTGAGCCCGTCTACCTCCACCACCAACTGTGCGCATCTACCTCCACCACCAGCTGAGCCCGTCTACCTCCACCACCAACTGTGCGCATCTACCTCCACCACCAGCTGAGCCCGTCTACCTCCACCACCAACTGTGCCCATCTACCTCCACCACCAGCTGAGCCCGTCTACCTCCACCTCTGGGATCAGTGGGAGGAAGAATGTCCTAATGTGGAAGGTCAGTAAGTGGAGGAGTGTCCCAGTGTCGAGGGTCAGTGAGAATGTCCTGGTGTCAGGGCTCAGTGACAAGGAAGGTTTTGGTGGCACGGGTCAGCGGGAGGGGGATGTCCTGTTGTCAGAGGTGAGTGGAAGAATGTGCTGTGGAGGAGTGTCCCTGTGTCAAGGGTTAGTAGGGGGCAGAATGTCCTGGTGTTGGGGGGTCAGTGGAAGAAGGAATGTCCTGTGGAGGAGTGTTCCAGTGTCAAGGGTTAGTAGGGGGAGGAATGTTCTGGTGTCAGGGGTCAGTGGTTGGGGGAATGTCCCTGTGTCAGGGGTCAGTGGTTGGGGGAATGTCCTGTGGAGGAGTATCTCAGTGTCAAGGGTTAGTAGGGGGAGGAATGTTCTGGTGTCAGGGGTCAGTGGTTGGGGGAATGTCCCTGTGTCAGGGGTCAGTGGTTGGGGGAATGTCCTGGTGTTGAGCGTTGGTGGGAGGAGGAATGTATCAGTGTCAGGAGTCATATGGAGAGGAAAGGTCACGGTGTTTAGGGGTCAGTGGGAAGGTAAATGTGCCAGTGGTGGGCATCAGTGGAAGTTGGAATAGCCTAGTGTCATTGGTTAGAGGAGTTGAAATGTCCCGGTGTCAGTGGGAGGAGGAATGTTTCAGTGTCAGGGGTCAGTGGGAGGAGGAATGTTTCAGTGTCAGGGGTCAGTGGTATTGTCCTGATGTTGGGGGTCAGTAGAAATATGCTGGAGACAGTGAAAGGGGAAATGTCCCGCAGTCGGTGGGAATGTTCTGGAGTCGGTGGGAATGTCTCGGAGTCGGTGGGAATGTCCCGGAGTCGGTGGGAATGTTCTGGTGTTGGGGGTCGGTGGGAATAACTGGTGTTGGGGGTCAGTGGGAATGTCCCGGAGTCGGTGAGAATGTCCTGGTGTTGGGGGTCAGTGGGAATGTCTCCGAGTCGGTGGGAATACATGGTGTTGGGGGTCAGTGGGAATGTCCCGGAGTCGGTGGGAATGTCCCGGTGTTGGGGGTCGGTGAGAATGTCCTGGTGTTGGGGGTTAGTGGGAATGTCCCGGAATCGGTGGGAATGTCCTGGAGTCGGTGGGAATGTCCCGGTGTTGGGGGTCGGTGAGAATGTCCTGGTGTTGGGGGTTAGTGGGAATGTCCCGGAATTGAGTTGGGGGGTGTGGGGGTGAGTGCCCTGGTGTTGGGGGTCAGTGGGAATGTCCCGGAGTCGGTGGGAATGTCCCGGTGTTGGGGGCCGGTGAGAATGTTCTGGTGTTGGGGAGTCGGTGGGAATGTCCTGGAGTCGGTGGAAATGTCCCGGTGTTGGGGGCGGTGAGAATGTTCTGGTGTTGGGGGTCAGTGGGAATGTCCCGGCGTCGGTGGGAATGTCCCGGAGTCGGTGGGAATGTCCCGGGGTCAGTGGGAATGTCCTGGTGTTGGGGGTCAGTGGGAATGTCCCGGAGTCGGTGGGAATGTCCCGGGGTTGAGGGGGAGTTCTGGTGTTAGGGGTCAGTGGGAATGTCCTGGTGTTGGGGGTCAGTGGGAATGTCCTGGTGTTGGGGGTCGGTGGGAATGTCCTGGAGTCGGTGGGAATGTCCTGGTGTTGGGGGTCAGTGGGAATGTCCCGGAGTCGGTGGGAATGTCCTGGTGTTGGGGGCCGGTGAGAATGTTCTGGTGTTGGGGGTCAGTGGGAATGTCCTGGTGTTAAGGGTCAGTGGGAATGTCCCGGAGTCGGTGGGAATGTCCTGGAGTCGGTGGGAATGTTCTGCTATCCCAATGATGTCGGTTTCGGGAAGACATTATATGCTGGAGATCACTCCTCCCCTCAATGCTGGCACACATTTTGGGAATCTATGCCCTAGTAGGGGCCCATAGGATAGGCAGTTGGTGGGAGAATATGTGGAGCCTGTGTATGGACCTCCTTCCTATTACCTGCCCCTCTCGCAGTCTCATTCCGCCTGCTGCATATAGTAAAAAAATGGTCTAACTCCTCCTACTTTGACAAGCCACGCCATTCAGGACCCTCCCCCACGTGTGGTAGTTGCCATGGTTACAGTGCCCTCAGGCCAAAAGCTTCCTTTCAAGTTAATTGAATAAAGTTTGTGTTCAAAGAGCACCTGTCACCCCTTTCCCGGTGTTGGCCAAACCTCTTAGTGCTAACTAAACCGAAAATCAGGCATTTGGAGAACTCGAGGAGTTGGAGCTTTCGATAGAACACAGGATCTCTGGCCTCCACACTCAGGCTCCTCCTCTTTCCCACTTCCTCCCTCCCCTGGTCATTCCTCCTAGTCCATTGCTTTCCCGCCTTCCTCGATGAGCGCACTGCAGGCTCCGCCCACACGTTTGACGTTACGCTTAGCTGTCAGAAGTGATGGTCGGGTTGGCGTGTTGCGCTAATCACGTGGTCGGAGTAACCCGGAAGTGCAAAAAGCGGGTAGTGGAGTTGACTGGAAGATCTGCACTGTGACACCGTGTGAGGGAAAGGGTGACTTGAGGAGGAGGTGGGGGTAACTAAGGGGGATGTATTGTAAGAGGAAGTGGGGGAGCCGGGGGGGGTATTGTAAGAGGAGAGGGTGGGAGAATCTGAGGAGGGGGGGGCTGTCAGAGGAAGTAGGGGAATCTGAGGGGTGTATTGTTAGAAAAAGGGTGGGGTGTTTAGTGAAAGGAGTGGTGTATAGTGAAAAGAGGGGACCTTAGTGGGGCAGGGTATGTATGGGAGTGTGGGGGCGTATGGGGACATGAGGGGAGTGTATGGTGAGAGGAGGGGGGGAGTATAATGAGAGGAGGGATGGGAGTGTATGGTGAGAGGTGAGGAGGGTGTGTTTAGGGACAGGAGGGGTAGGGATTTATGTGGATGGTTGGTTAATGCAGAGAAGAGAGGTAGGGATGTGAGGAGGGCGGTGTATGGTGAGAGGAGGGTTAGGGATGTAAGAAGGGGGGTTTATGGTGTGAGTGTGTGGTAAGAGGAGGGGTAGGGATGTGAGGAGGGTGATGTATGGTGATAGGAGGGGTAGGTATGAGAGGAGGGGGGTGTATGAGGAGAGGTAGGGAGGTGTATGGTGAGATGAGAGGTAGGGATGTGAGGAGTGGGGTGTATGGTGAGAGAGAGGAGAGGTAGGGATGTGAGGAGGGGGGGGTGTATGGAGGAAGGGTAGTAGAGTGTGGTGGGAAGTGTAGGGAGTGGCTCTTGGCAGAAGGGTAGCATGTGGTAGGAAGTGCATGGGGTGGCTGCAGGCAGAAGGGAAGAGCGTGGTGGGAAGTGTGGGGTATGGCTGCAGGCAGAAGGGTAGAGTGTGGTGGGAAGTGTAGGGAGTGGATGTTGGCAGAAGGGTAGAGTGTGGTGGGAAGTGTAGGGAGTGGATTTTGGCAGAAGGGTAGAGCGTGGTGGGAAGTGTAGGGAGTGGATGTTGGCAGAAGGGTAGAGTGTTTGGGAAGTGTAGGGATTGGCTGATGGCAGAAGGGTAGAGCGTGGTGGGAAGTGTAGGGAGTGGATGTTGGCAGAAGGGTGGAGCGTGGTGGGAAGTGTAGGGAGTGGATGTTGGCAGAAGGGTAGAGTGTGTAGGGAGTGGGTGAAGGGATGGGTTATACAGTACGGGATTGATGATGAAGGCGGGGAGCACAGGGATTATCTGACGTTTCCTGGAATGTTTTTGTCTTCTTCTTTCTCTCAGGTTTCCACCATGTTGGTGGGGGAGAGGAGGAATGGCAACCTTCTGGTACAGCTGGATCCTAAGCTGCAGGCCCAGCCGGTGGAGTTGTTGCGGCAGCGGTTGAGCCCCGATGGACTCACCGAGTATCTGATCCGTTGGGCGTTGCAGAATGTGGAGGAAGCGGCGGGGAATAGCGGAACCGCCTCGCAGACGGAGAGCAAGTCCCCGAATATCCTGATGTGGATGTCGGCAAAGGAGGTCTACACCAACTGCCCCACCCTGCTGGGCAAACGCAAATCAGATGGGCCGGGCATCGCAGAGGAGAAGACTTCCGGTTCTCCTGATGAGGGGGCTCTGCAGGAGATGACCGAAGATGTTCGGATGCTGGTTCAGAGAGCTGCCAGGCAGATGTCCCAGAGCTCCGGCCCAGACTCCTCCATTCTCAACACCATTCATGTGCTCAGTGCCTATGCCAGCATTGGCTCTCTGGCCGGAGTCTTCAAGGAGACGGGGGCTCTGGACCTGCTCATGAAGATGCTCTGCAATCCCGAGAAGCAGATTCGGAAGAATGCCGGCAAGATGTTGCGCGCCCTGGCATCACATGATGCAGGTGGGACTTCTTTATCATTTTATTTCTTTATGATATAAAGAGAGAAGAGTGTTCCCTACTTCCTGGCAAGGAAAAAAAAAGGTTTCCTTCTTCCCTACGGCTTTACAATGAGGTCCACCAGACCTTCAAAATGAAATTCGGGGTCACCCTACTGACCACGCCCACTAGTAACCACACCCATTAAACCACCACTCCATATATATATTTTAGCCACACCCACAACCCTCCCCCCCCCATTTTTAGCATGCCCTGAAACAGTTAGTCACAGATTTCTGGAAGAGGAAACAGACGTTGACGAAGATGTAAAAACAAAGTACCGTGGGCACTGTAACCAGTGAAATCATGTGACGTGCGCAGTCAAATTGTGCTAACTGTGGGAGTGGCTGAAGAGGCGTGGCTAAACAAACCCTGCGTCTATTCTACTATTGGGCAAGCATGTGTAAGGTTCAGGGATCAGGTGTGTGTAACGCAGAACACACGGGTCAAGAGTACAGAGAGCAGGAATCAGGAGTGCAGAGGTCAGGAGTGTAATGCACAGACTTAAGGGGGGTCAAGAGTGCCTAAGGCACGGAGTAAAGGGGTCAGGCGTGTGTAACGCAGAACTCTGGGATCAAGAGTACATGGAGCTGACAGCAGGAGTATGTAACGGAGAGAGTGCAGGGGTCAGGAGTAGGTAGCAAATGGAATAAAGAGGTCAAAAACGCAGAGTACAGGGGTCATCAGTAGGTAACGCATGGAGCACAGGGGCCATCGGTAGGTAACTCAGTAGTACGCAATGCAGGGTTTAGGGGTGAGTAGTAAGCGATTCAGGGTTCATGGGCCAGTAGTAAGCGACACAGGGTTCAGGGGTCAGTAGTAAGTGATGCTGGGGTCAGTAGTAAGTGACGTATGGTTCACGGGCCAGTAGTAAGCGACGCAGGGGTCAGTAGTAAGTGACGCAGGGTTCATGGGTCAGTAGTAAGCGACTCAGGGGTCAGTAGTAAGCGACTCAGAGGTCAGTAGTAAGTGACGCATGGTTCATGGGTCAGTAGTAAGCGACGCAGGGTTGAGGGGTCATTAAAAAGTGACACAGGGTTCACGGGTCAGTAGTAAGCGACTCAGGGGTCAGTAGTAAGCGACTCAGGGGTCAGTAGTAAGGGACGCACGGTTCATGGGTCAGTAGTAAGCGTCGCAGGGTTCATGGGTCAGTGGTAAGTGACTCGGGTCAGTAGTAAGGGACGCACGGTTCAATGGTCAGTAGTAAGCAATGCAGGGTTCAGGGGTCACTAGTAATGCATGGGTCAGTAGTAAGCAATTCAGGGGTCATTAGTAAGTGACGCAGAGTCCTAGAGGCAGTTACAGCATGTACAAAACTGTCTGTATGTGACTGCAGTTCACTGCCGCCGGGGACGTTTGTTTCCTGGGGATAAGTCTCTCAAAGCAGGGACTGTCCTCGGGAAACGGGGGTCTAATGGTAACCCCCATTATTTTACACCCTCGGCGAGCCCCTTCTTCCTCTATGCTCTCCCCCTCAGTGCTCACTTCCCTGTGCAGCTCTTCTCCTAGTTCTCATTGTGGAAATGCTCATTTCCTCGCTGTCATGTTTGCTCTCTTGCTTCGGTACTTTTTTTTTAGCCCTCAGCTGGAATGAGCAAACCCAAAGAATGTCCGAGACCTTTCAGATCTCCGGCAGAGAACAAAAGAGCTTCATTGCGCTGTGTTCTATCAATCAATGCTTTTTATAAATGGAATGTTCTACCTCATAAGCACACCTTGTCTTTGTGTATTCTGACTCTGCTCTAACTTTGTATCTCGCATTGCTCCGAGTCTTTGTAAAAAGAATTCATCAAGAATGTCTGTCTTGCTCAGTAGCAATCTTCCTCTAAAATCTGCAGGGGGTCCCACACTTGGCTCTCCTGGTTCCTCCTGCTGACATCCATTCATTACAGGATGCAGATACGTGCTCACTTATTTAGTATGTTTTTATCTTATGACAGGGTCACTTTAAAGATAGATATATAGAGATAGATATATAGAGATAGATAGATATATACACTATATTGTCAAAAGTATTGGGACGCCTTTACACGCTGTGGCAATGCCAGGGTGTCTTTTGGCAATACAGGTGAAACTCGAATAATTAGAATATCGTGCAAAAGTAATTGCTGCAAAAGGGGCCCAAACCAAGTACTGAGTACATATGCATGCTTGTACTTTTCAGAGGTCCGATATTGTTCTATGTACAATCCTTGTTTTATTGATTGCATGTAATAATCTACTTTTTTGAGGTTG